ACCCCACAAATTGTACCCTACTCAGGATGCACTGGTGGTCATGAAGAGCTATATCCTGGGTTTGAATGCTGTTGTGGGTCTACATGACTTTGAAGTAGATTCTCATCCTGATGACTCCCACCCAAATTCAGGATGTGACTGTCTAGCACCTGCTTGAACCCAGGACCATGCTCAAATGAACATAATAGCTAATGTGCTGGCTTGCTGATGGGAAAATTCTGATCCTGCCTAGAGCCCACAGGCCCCACATATTAATGTTTGAATTTCTATGATTGGCTAGCTTACATGAGGATAAGCAAGTCACTGAGTTGTGGATTTTGTGCCTATATTGTCTTTGGATGGATCAGAAAGCTGCTGTCCTCTCACAGAGCTTGAGACTCTGTGGTGGGTGACAGTCCCTAGTCAGGTAAGTAAAGCTCTCTTTTGATTTGAAATTCAGACTTAGAGTGCTTTCTGGAGGGACTCCCCATAACACCATCTATTTAGCAGGCTAAGGCAGAAGGATCTCAAATTCAAGGCCTGTCTCAGTAATTTAGTGAGAAACTGTCTCAAAATTAAAAAATAAAATTTTAAAAAAATTGTTCTGAGAATGTAGCTCAGTGGTGTAGTTCCCCTAGGTTCAAACCTTGGTACCCAAACTGAATATATGCATAATTTAATTAACTAAATAATTAATTAATAAAAATGAAAAAAAAGGTGAGGATGTAGCTCAGTGATAAAACTCTCCTGGGTTTAATCCCCAGTGCCAAAAAATAAAAATTCATGAATTCAGGATGTAAATATATTTTTTTAAATGATCACCTGTACTCATAAAATTTCTGCAAAAGTCTAACCCTTCATAGAATAGTAAAGGTCAAAGCTTGGAGATGAGATACCCAAGACCTAATGAATAGGGAAAATTGAATTTAACAGTGATTGCCTGGTGGAGGGACACTGAGAGCCACTCTCTCCAAACCCATGTTGTTGTTCAAATGTGGCTTAATGAGTTTCAACATTGATTCCTAGTCATTTATAAATTCCCTCCAATGGCGGACTGGACCAACCAGGAAAAGTCCATCCTGGCACTGAGATAGAATCAAACCCTAACCATTATGTGATGCATCCAGAGAAAAAAATCTTCATCCCAAGGGGGAAACATAAATGGTGCTCAAATCAACAGGAAGTAACTGTGTCAAATCCTGATGAAGGGGAAGCAGGGTGCTGCAAAGGGAAGGTCCCTGGGCAGCCCTGCCTGATGGCAGGAACTATCACAAACCAGTCAGCCCCATCCTCAGCTGTGCATAAAATAAACCCTAACCCTCACCCCCCATATTTTCTAAGAGGACACCTGGCCAGTTGCCACCTATTGTCCTTGAACTGAGGCCACCCTTGGTACTGAATCTGTGGAGCCAGTGATAATTGATTCAAAGCTGCCTTTGACACCCTGTCTCCCTTTGCCTCCTAGATGGGGCACTGACTCATCTTTCTTTAAGTGTTCTGCATTCCTGCCCTATTATGACTGACTACACTTTTCTTTGGAGAGACACTGTCTGTTGTGATATAGGTTGACTGTAATTTTGACCTGCCTTGTGCACCAAGTCAGGGGTAATAAGAGAAGGCAGGGCTGTGGCATGAAGTCAACCTTTCAGCTGATGACACACAGACAAATTCCAGACAAACTTAAAATTAAATCAGAGTGTAGATTTCAAATATTGTAGAGCATAAAAACCAGAGATGGTGTTGGATGTAGCCTTAATCCTATATATCTGCACACACACATGAAATTAAATGTGTTTCATTTGTGGTAAGTTATTATGTGAAACAGAAACAAAATATAACCTTAGCCAATTGGAATTATCCAACTTACATATGATTATGTGATGTGAGCCGGGACATTTTCCAACAAGATACCCCCAAAAGACCATCACGGTTTAGATGCTGTGTCTCTTAACAGCTCACATGTGACAATGTTTTGGAAGATAAATGATTGGTTTATAGCCATAACCTAGCCAGTGAATTAATCTCTGGTGGGATTAACTGGGAGATAATGGGGGCAGGTGGGCTGTGGCTGGAGGAAGCTGATCTTTGGGGTATGAATATGGGTGTAGAGTTTGTATCTGCAAGTGGCCATCTCTCTATATATATATGCTTTCTCGTAATGTGAGCCTCTTCCCTCTGCCACAAGCTTCTGCCATGATATTCAGTCTCAACTTGGAGGTGCTGTCTCTGGATTGAGGCCACTGAAACCAAGCCACCCAAATAAATTTTTCCTCCTCTGTAGTTGTTGTCGTTGGGTCTTTTAGTCACAGCACCATAAAGCTAACTAAAACAAAGACAGACCGAAAAAACAGAAATGCAATTTTCTAACCGCCACCCATCAAACCATTCCTTCTACATGTTCCCTGGAAGTGCTCACCTCACATGGCTCATCCAAGCATTCCATCTCTTTCTGTCTCTCCTTCCTCAATTTTAGAATTTCATTTTACTCAGACTCTTGAAATTTTCCTTTGCTTGTATTCTTCTCCCAGGCTAAAGGCCTTGGAAAGTGCCTGGGGACAAGGTTTTCTGGGAGAAGTGCCCTGGGGAAGTCCCTGATTCTGAAGGAAGGCTCTCTAATTGGTGGCCTCCCTGAAGTCAAGGACACCTGCTGTCCAACCCTGTGTCTTTCACTCCAGTATCCGAAGTTGCAAACCTTACACCCTCAGTGGCTTTCAGACTTTGCCAAGTCTGATGGGGCATGGTGGCCCGTTCCTGTAATCACAGCAACTCAGGACACTTGAGGAATGGGGATGGCAAGTTTGAGGCCAGCCTCAGCAACTTAGGGAGGACCTAAGAAATTTTTTGAGACTCTGTCTCCAAATAAAATCAAAAAATAAAAAGGGCTGGGCATGTGGCTCAGTGGTAGAGATCCAATGTGTTTCATCCCTAGTACAAATAAAAGAAATCTTGCCCTAAGTCTAGAAGACTGATTCTACCTTCCTTTGTGCTCTACCTCCCTTTGTGTGCTCAGATTTGCTGCAAGTTAACTTGACACTTGTGTGACTGTTGGAAACATGGTTTCCATTCTGTAATCTTTGTGGATGACACTATTGTCTTCAAAAAGCTGTTTACTCTCTGGAATTTTCAAACTATTTTTGAAAATTATTTTTTTTCAAATAATTTTGATATGGCAAAGATCCCTGTAGAAAGGTATTTTCCAGTAATGTTTTTCTTACGTTAGGGATTAAGTACTTTTATGTCTCACAGTAGAAACAAGAGGGTCACATATGGACAAAATTGAGTCCATGATAGGGAGTGTATGGACAAAAGCATCACTGACTCTCAAATCTCCCTGATTCTGTGCTCTTGCATGACCATCAGATTCAATGAACTAGTGCAAGGAAGAAAATCCCATCATGATTAAGTGGGTGGAGATTTTAGAAGGTGATCACATACTGCTTTCTGATTGGATGCTTATCAATTAGATGGAGGTGGGGGCGGGGCCAGAGAAGTCCTAAAAGCTTCTGCAGAGCCAGAAGAGAAGCACAAGTTCTTGCAGCCTAAGGAGACACATCCTGACCTACTGAAGCTCAGAGCACCTGCACACCTGGCCAGATCCCGTAAGTCCCTCACTGGCCTAAGGAACAGTGCCTTCCCTCCTCACCTGTGTGGATTCAGGAACAATTTTGTTCCTGTCTTTTCTCATGAACCAACTTAGGACTTCGATTTTGCCTCTCAGTGTTGTTTTGCCTTTATGCTAAATATTAAGATTTTCATTTTGGTTTATGTCACTTTCAAATTTCCTTTTTTTTTTTTTTTTTTTTGGTACCCTGTATTGAACTCAGGAGCACTCTACCACTGAGCCACATCCCCAGCCCTGTTTTGTATTTTATTTAGAGACAGAGTCTCAGTGAGTTGCTTAGAACGTGCTCTTGCTGAGGCTGGCTTTGATCCCTTGATACTCCTGTGTCAGTCTCCAGAGCCCCTGGAATAATAAGTGTAGGCTCACACGCCCAACTTTTATTCATTTGTTTAATTTTTGTTTTTTTAAGGTTTATATGGACAATATAATTTATTTATTTATTTATTTATTTGGTGGTATGTTGATTGAATCCAGGGCCTTGTATATTCGAGGCAAGCACTCTAATAACAGAGGTATATCCCCAGGTCACCATTTATTAATTTTTATGTGCTGCTGAGGATCAAGCCCAGTTCAAGCCCCAGCCACTTTTTTCACCAAGGAGATTGGATTCCTATTTCATTCTAATTGATTGCAATTCTATTTTCTGATGATGGAAATATTTATATTGTGTGCCTATGAATTATACTCTTTTGCTGGGTGTGGTCGCACACACCAATAATCCTGCCAACACAAGAGGTTGAGGAGGCTGGAGGACTAGAGTTCAAAGGCAGCCTGAGAACACAAAATGCTACACAAATCTGTATGACCCTGTCTCCATCTAAAATACAAAATAGGGTTAGGGAAGTGGCTCAGTGGTTGAGTGTCCTAAATTCAGTCGCCAATATCAGCCCATAAAGGCTATAATGTATGGCTTATGTGGTTTTGTAATTTATAATTTGTTAAACAAATTAAACCAAAAGCTTCAAATGATCTCATGGAACAGTTCATAGACTCTGCTCTGATCTGTTTGTTCTCTTCAACATCCCAATAAGATGCCAGCATCTCACATGTGTAACAGATATCCATGAGATTCTTTTGTAATTTCCAAGTGTTTTATAACATGGCCACAAGATTCATAAATGCTCATTTTTTAAAAAAAATTAAAACGAATGTCACCCATTTAAGGGCAAGTCCATTTCCAGCCATATAGTTGTTGAATCTAGAGCCTACTGTTTAGGTTACATGACACTCCAATTCCCCTTTTAAAAGGACAACATAATAATCCAAAGCTTTCACCCATAAGAGTGAGGTGTGATTATAGACTTCCCAGTACCCCCTTCCAGGAGGCTGGAAATGGATGGGATAGTGGCCTTTTCTCTGGACCATTTTCCAGGATATTTCTTCTTTCAGACTCCCCAGGATGAGTATCCAGTCCCCACCCACGCTGCTGGAGCTGCCAGGGCGCAGCCTGCTGAGCAACAAGTCCAGGGCTCTCCTGGATCTGGAGGACCTGCCCATAGAGCTCTTCCCACCACTCTTTGTGGAGGCCTTCAGCAGGGGACACACTGAGGTCCTGAAGAAAATAGTGCAGGCCTGGCCCTTCACCCGCCTGCCCCTGGGGGCCCTGATGAGGAAGCCACAGCTTGAGATGATCCAAGTGGCCCTGGATGGGCTGGACATGCTGCTTGCCCAGCAGGATCACCCCAGGTGAGGGGGACCTAGGTGGCCTGGAAGGGAGCACCCTTGGGGACAGAGAAGGGATGGGAATAGGCAGGGAGAGTGGGTGCTGAATTGTGCACCACAGGCTTCCTGTGCTGCCAGCAAGGAGGGGTGGAGAGGCCTTGGCCATGCTGAGCCCCATCTGGGAAAGGCTTCCAGATGTTGAGGTGCTTGTGGCAGCTGTGGTGACCCATGAAGGAGGCTGTACCTGCCCCTGCCTCAGTCTGTACAAGTGGGGGCACCAGGCTGGATTGGAGGGAAGTGGATGGAGAAAAGTGAGACAGAAGGAAGAGGTGGAGTAAGGGGCAGCAGCTGAGAGGTGAAAGAGGGGGCCTCAGGGCTGAGACTCTGCTGTCGTCCCCGCAGGAGGTGGAAACTGCAGGTGCTGGATTTGCGGGATGTTCCCCAGAACTTCTGGAGGATGTGGTCTGGAGCCGTCGTTGATGCCTGCTCACCAGAGGACATTAAGCAGAATCGAACATTGAAACTTGGTCCAGCAATGGCAGCTAAGCAACCCTTCAAGGTTTTCATAGACTTGAGCCTCAGAAAAAGACCCCTGGATGAATTCCTGACCCACTTGTTCCTGTGGGTCAGACAGAGAAGGGACAGGCTGCACCTGTGTTGCAATAGGCTGAAGATCTTTGGGAAACCCACCAGCCACACCAGGAAGGTCCTGAGACTGCTGCAGCTGGACTCTGTCCAGAAGGTGGAAGTGCACTGCACCTGGGTGCCCTCCACCTTGGCTGCTTTTGCTCCTTTCTTGGGCCAGATGAGGAACCTGAGGAAGCTGCTTGTCTCCCAGGTCTATGTGCCTGCCTACACCTCCCAAGAGGAGCAGGAGCAGCTGCTCACCCAGCTCACCTCGCAGTTCCTCAGGATGGACTGCCTGCGGAAGTTCTGTGCCAATGCTGTCTTCCTCCTCAATGGCCACCTGGAACAGGTGCTAAGGTGAGTAAGATGGGTGTGAGCACCCTCTGCAGAAAAGTTACAGGGAATTTGCACCTACCAGCCACTGAAACTCTCATGGTTAATAAGACACTGGAAGGTAAATAACCTATCCTTTTGTTCCTATTCGATCCTGAAGCTAGATCTCATAATGTGCATTGGATCAGACTCCTAAACGAGGGTCCAGAGTTGGGGAAGTGCCACCATGCTGGGAATCCAGTTGGGAGGGACAGGAGCTAGGGATGGGATTGATGTTTCCTCCATGGGAGGCCTGTCCAAATAAGGTGGTGGAAAGTGGGTAGAGAAGAGGGCTTGGAAGGAGGGAAGCCCCCACACTTACACCCATCAACAGAAAAGCTCTGTGATCCCCAGATGGGAGCAGAGGACCTGCCTCTATACCCACCTGGGGAAGGCTGTTCTGAACTCCAGGTAGTGATCCTGGGTGTAAGGGTCAGGAGCAGGGGTGGAAATCTTGCTGAGGATATAGGGTGTGAGCCTCTCAGAGGGTTAACCCCAGGGGATTTTGTTACATCCTGCCCAAATGTGTCCTTCATACATGACTCCCCATGACCTCCTGTGGCCAGACCTGTGACTTTCTGCTTGGCAGTGAGGAGGGGACACAGAAATATGGACTCATCTGTTCACAGGCGATGTGGTGAAAGGCTCACCCTGACATGGGGTGATGTGAATGAGCAGATTCTGCAAAAGGCAGCATTCTAGGTGTGGGCCATTGTCAGATCACTAGGGTGACTTTGGGTTTGGGCCAATTTGTCTTCTCCCTCCTTGACATTGCTCCTCAGTACTAACTTTCCGTTTTTTTCTTAGGCACCTGAAGACCCCCCTGAAGACCCTCTCAATAACCAATTGCCCACTGTCAGATTCTGACTGGAATTATCTTTCCCGATATCCAAACACCAGACAGCTCAGACACCTGGAACTGAGGGGCATCAAACTGACCGATTTCAGTCTGGAGCCCCTCCAAATCCTGCTGGACAGCACTGCAACCACCCTGAACAGTCTGGACTTGGAAGATTGCGGGATCACTGACTCCCAGCTCCAGACTCTTCTGCCTGCCCTGAGCCGCTGCACCCAGCTTGTGATCTTGAGCTTCCATGGGAACTGCCTCTCTATGTCAACACTGAGGGACCTGCTGCTTCACACTGCCAGGCTGAGCCAGTTGAGCATAGAGCTGTACCCTGCCCCTGTGGAGAGCTATGATGCCTGGGGTACCATCCACCCAGGGAGATGTTCCCAACTCTGTGCTGAGCTGACAGCAATAGTGAGGGACTTTAGGCAGCCAAACATCCTTGTGTTCTGTACTGTCCCCTGTCATCATTGTGGCTACAAGTTCATGTATAACCAGGGCCTCATTCACTGCTCCTGTCCAACACCTGCCTAGTTTGGGGTGTTTCAAAAACATACTTCTAGGCAATTGGAGGTATAACCAGGATATAAGGTCACCTTATAGGGAACACAGAGCCCACCATTTCAGACTTTGCCTGGAGTGTCCATGGGGAAAGGAAAGTACAGCAGGGGGCTCCATTGGAAGGAAGCCCCCTGAGGATAGGACCTTCAGGACATGTGTCTTTATAGAGACATACATAGAGACCTGGATTTCTAGAATGGGATTTAGGCTTGATGGGCACAGAAAGAATCTATTGTGTTTCATGGCTGGTCCATAAATAGTCAGAAATGAACAGAATCTCAAGGTTAGTCTTCTGACGTCTTGTGCACTGGATTTACCTGGCTTCCTAATGAAACTTTGGGATTCTCCAGGTTCTGTGGAGAAAGAAGGCATTGAGTAGTTGGTGAACAATGAGGTTCAGGCCCAAGAAGTCAAGGTATCAAACTGAAATCTGGTCATGATATGTGGCTACTCTGTGGCTTAACACTTGCAGGTTCACACAGGTGGAATGGAACATTCTATGTAGCCATTGAACATGAGCCATTGCAAGAAAACCTCTTCTCAATGGACCTCAGTGCCACCCAGACATTCAACGCTGGCCCCTCCTGATGGGTCTCTATGTAGACCCAGAAAATTCAGGTCCCAGTCCCTGGATGTGCTGGGCAAGGGCATCTGTGCACAAGACAGGCCCAATTGTCTCACTCCTAGTGCCTGCAGGAGGTGTCCATGCTGTACATTGATCAGAGCCTCTGGGCCTCACCAAACCTTGCCTGTCATCCACCTAGGTAGTCTGTCCTCATTTAAACTAGTGGTGCCCCTTGAATGTATCCAAATTACCTTTCAGCAAAATAGTAGAATCATATATGTAGATAACACTTGAAAATATTTCAAAATGAAACTGAATCAATTACAAGCTCTGGTGGGGCGGGAGTTGCACATAACTGACAGATATTGCCCTAACACTTCCTTCCACTGAGGACTGCACTGATGGGGTTGTGGAGAGACCTTAGCCTTAGTTTCCCATCCAAGGATGAGAACGAGGTCCACTCAGTCTTCATTTGAAGTGTTCTAAAACTGCCTGTGGACGTGTTTTAATTATGGCTTGAATAATCCCCCTCACATAGTGAACTGGAACCCACTTTGATGTGTAAAAAGAGTGTAGCTCACTCTTGGAACTGGTAGCAGAGTCTGGGCTGAGCACAGCTGGCCTCTCTGTCACCCACAGTGTGATCTTTGTGCCTTGATCCCTCTTTATGGCACTTTCTTTTCTTGGGCTCTAAGTCAAGCTTGCATGTGTGGGGCAGGTGGAAGGTTCTGAATGGCATTCAATTTGTTGGATTCTAGGATCAAATATAGTCAAGGAAAATCTGCATAATGAGATCTGTCATCATGTGTTCTTTTAAGAGTTATCATGACTAAAATGGGTCTTGAAGATATTCTGATGCCTCCAGACCCATTGATCACTGGAAGGGTTGTGAGGGCACTTTGTTTTCTCAGAAGCCTGGGGATAAAGCACTCACCTCTCTTTGAGTTCCTCATCTTTTGACTCTAGGTTGATTTGTGCTTTGAGAGAGCACACAACAGTAGGATGTCATAACAAACAGGACCGGGTTTGTAAGGGTGGCCGGGTCAGGAAGTGGGGACTGGGTTTTACTCCTTGGCTACTGAATGATGCAGAGTCCTTTGTACACCTGTATCCAAAGACTCTACAGTCCCTTCTGGAACACTGGCCAATTTTACCTCCACAATTTAGAAACCCAGAAACCTTGCTATTCTAGAGAAATGAGTGAACTTCATCAAAGCTAACTCAGGGAGCTGGAGACATTTCTCAGTTGTGGAGCACTTGCTAGCATGTGGAAGGGCCTGGATTCCATCCAAGGCATCACAGAAATAAGTAAACAAATAAATAAATCCAAAAATGATGTGATTACATTGGTAAGGTTTAATTGGAATAGAGCTGTCTATCTTTTAGAAATGTTCAAAAAGAAGGATCCAAAACCCACATGAAAACAATGGAATGCATTCTTTAATTGGTCTGGACAGGTGGGTCAAATTGATGTTCTGAAAGATTCTCTGCCAAAAACAACTGCAAAAGCCGGCTTGGTGTTGCTCAGCTGTAGTTCCAGCAGTTCAGGTGGTGAGGCAGGAGGATGGTTAGTTCAAAGCCACCCTCAGCAATTTAGTGAGGTTGTAAACATGTTTTTGAGACCCTGTTTCAAAATCCTACCTGGGGATGGGGTTCACTCATGTGGCACCCTTGAGTTCACTGCCTGGTCCCCAAAACAATAACAAACAATTATGAAAAGCCGGTTGCAGTGGCACATGCCTGGGATCTCAGCTACTCGAGAAGTTTTATGATTTTATTCCTTCTCCCAAATTTACAAACTTGGGCATGACTTATCCTTATTTTTTCCAGTCCCTTGACATGCAATATCGGGCAATTTATTTAAGATCTATTTTCCTAATAAAGGTATTTCTTGCTGAGGACTTCCCAGTTAGAATTTCTTTTGATGTATCCCCAGGTTTGAATATCTTGTGTGGTCCTGTTCATTGGTCTGCAGGCATTTTACACTTTCTTTTTAAATTTTTATTTATTTTTCTTATTTCTTACATACATGACAATGTTTTGATTTCTTCAATGACCCATTGGTTGTTGGGGAACACGCTGAAGAACTCCCATGCTTTGTAACTGTCCAGGTGTTCCCCCTGTTACGGATTCCATTCTTATTAAATTTATGGAGATTTATTTTGAGAATAAATGGAGAATGTGTCGTGTGCTGTTGAGAAGGATGTTTGCTCTGCAGTAGTTGAGTGGGATGGTCGGTAAATGTCTACTGTGTGCAGAGATGATCTGTCCAGTGCTGAAAAGGGGAGTTGAAGCCCCCACTGTTCTTACTGTGTAGTAGTTGACTTCTTCTTTTACATTCCAGTAATATCTGTTTTGCACATGTGGGTTTTCGGGTGTCGGGTACATGTATGTGTACAATTGTTGTCTCATGTTGCTGAATTGACGACTTTATCATGGTGGCATCACCTTGGTTTTTTTTTTTTTTTTATTGTGTTTTAATCTGTAGTCTATTTTACCTGTCAGGAGTCTAGCCATTCCTGCTCTAGGTTGGTTTTCTTCATGTGGAATATCTTTTCCATCCCTTCACTGTCACTCTGTGTGTGTCCTGAGGTGAAATGACTTTCTTGTAGACAGCAGGTAACTGAGTCCATTATAAAAAAGAAAATCCAATCAGTCACTTTACATCTTATAATTGGGGAGTTTAATCCCTTTAAATTCAAGGTTTTTGATTGAAAGATACAGAATTATTTCTGACTGGTCTTATTCATTTTTAGTTACTTTTTCTGATTTCTCTTTAGATCTTTTTCTCTGTTTTCCTCCATTACACTCTAGTCTGTTTCTGTGGGTTGGTGTTTTCTTCTGGGATAAGTTTGGATTTCCTTCTTTGTCATTTGTGAACATGCTGTCATTTTGTTTTTTTCTTTGGGCTTCCTCTGGGATTTAGAAAATTTTTATAGTTACCAAAGAGCATTTTAAGCTGAACAGAACCCCCTCTGCTCTGATACCAGTACTCTGTATTCCATCTTTTTCCTTGTAACATTTGCTTTGGTTGCCTTGGTTTCCTTCTCCTGGTTTCCTGCATTCCTTAACCTCTTACTGTGGCCATGCTTAACACTCACCATTTTGTTTTTAACTTTCCTATTAGTTATGTGAAAGTTTAAATATCCCTGTTATGTAAGCCAGGCACACTTCTGTATGCATGTAATCCCTCAGGAAACTGAGGCAGGAGGATTGCAAATTGAAAGCTATCCTCAGCAACTTAGCAAGTTCCTGAACAACTTAGTGAGAACTTTTCTCAAAATAAAATATAAAAGGGCTGACTTCCCATTAGATCCAACACCTTCAAGAGCCTGTACTCTCACCTGTGGCCTGCACTGGACTGGAAGATATGCTGTGTTTCCTTCCTGCAGAAAGCTGGCTGTGAGATACACCAAGAAACCATAGAGTACAGAAAAAATTTCGAAATGCAAGGGCAGGCCACTTCTGAAATCTTAAGAGTGCTGCTTCCACACTGGAAGGAGAGAGTGAGTGTGTGTTTTTATTTTTCTATGGGGGATACACAAAGGCTTTTCCATAGAATATGATTCATCAAATAAAGCAATGGGTGGGCTGTCCCAGCCCGACAGGTAACACCCAACCCCAGAGCTACAGAGCAGTCTCTACATCTCCATCATGTTCCCCTTCTCTGAACTCTCAAGAACTCTGGTGAGGGAGGCCAGCAGGACTCTTCAGGGGTAATAGAATAAGTTAGTGATGGTGCATACACACATATATAGATAGGTAATATGTGTTAGTTTTTGCTTGTAGCTGAGGTGTAGTGTAGTTGGCCTCTGAATGAAAGCCCTTCCTGTGTCAAGGAATTCCCCACTCAACATGGGAGTCTCCAAGTAAGGCAGGGTCCACCATCAGTTGATAGGAATGAAAAAGTCAAATGTATTATTCTGCCTCCTGATGTGGTTTGGGGTTAGTGCCTAAGGTGTGACCTGTGCCCCCAATATGTTTTGTCACCTAGCAGCAGGTCCTAATCAGGATTTCGGTGGGGTCTCCAAGCTATGGTCCAGGCTAGCTGTAAGGATGGCCTTAACCTAAAAATGGCCTAAGCCTGAGTAATTCCAGTTGAAAATGAACCTGCAGGTCCACCATGGACAGCCTCCAGAGCCCTCTAGTATGAATCAGGCACAGCCTGATAAAGACAAGTCTCTGTCCAAAACCCAGTGGAAACTCAGAATGAAGTCATTGGTGCAGCCAATACAGAAAGCATTATGGAGATTCCTTGGAAATTTGGGAATGGAATTACCATTTAACAAAGCTATTAATCTCCTCAGACTATGCCCAAAGGACTTAAAAACAGCATCCTACAGGGACACAGCCACATCAATGTTTATAGCAGCACAATTCACAATAGGTAAACTGTGGAGCCAAATTTGATGTCCTTCAGTGGATGAATGGATAAAAAAAAATGTGGCATATATACACAATGGAATTTTACTCAGCATTAAAAGAGAAAACATATCATGGCATTTACAGGTGGATGGATGGCATTGGAGAAGATAATGCTAAGTGAAGTTAGAAATTCCCCCCCAAAACAAATGCCAAATATTTTCTCAGCTTTAAGGAGGCTGACTCATAATGGGGTAGGGAGGGGGACCTTGGGAAGAATAGATGAATTCTAGATAGGGCAGAGGTGTGGGAGGGAAAATAAGGGCGCAGGGGATTAGCAAGGATGGTGGAATGTGATGGACATCATTATACAAATACATGTATGAAGACAAGAATTGGTGTCAACATACTTTATATACAACCAGAGATATAAAAAAAATGTACTGTATACATGTAATAAGCATTATAATGCATTCTGCTGTGATGTATTTTTTTAAATCAAGTAAAAAAATAACAACCTATTCCTCTGATAGGCAGAATGATAGCCTTTAATACTCCCCACCCCAAAATTTTATTCAGCAAAAGAACAAGGTACCCAAGTCACTTTTTTTTCTCCTCTTTTTTCCCCTTTTTGTACCAGGAGTAGAACCTAAGGACACTAAATCACTGAGCCACAGTTGTAGCATTTTTAAAAAATTCAGTAAATACAGAGTAGTGGGGAATTGCTTTTCCAGGCAGGAGACCCCTCCCACATGGGTGTCAGGGGGAGATCTTATACCACTGTAGCCATGGTAGAGGGTACTTTCTCCTTCAGTTGGGGGACCCCTCCCACCTGGGTGGCTGGGGAGTTCCTATACCACTACAGGCTGGGTAGAGGGAACTCTCCCCTCCAGATGGGAGACCCCTTCTATCTGGGTGTTCTGGGTAGAGGGGACTCCAGTTCCAGGAGGGAGACCCCTTCCACCTGGGTGTCAGGAGGAGTTCTTATACTGCTGCAGCCAGGGTAGAGCGGACTCTCCCTTCCAGTTGGGAGACCCCTCCCACCTGGGTGTCTGGGTGAGCTCCTATACCTCTGCAGCCAGGGTAGAGGGGTGTTAGAGTCTGTAAACAAGTCAAAATAATGCCTGGCATTTTGCCAGGGGAATGTTAAAGTTCATAAACAAGTCTGGATGGTGCCTGGCAAAATGCCAGAGGGAGTGGTTTGTGAGGTGGAGCCAGCAAGCCATTAAGTGTGGAGATTCCTGATTGGTTGACTGCTGTATCTAGTTTATGCTAATTAGATAAGCTGTGTGGAATGTATAAATACTGCTCCTGTCCTGCTCCTACTCCTGCTGTATCAATGTACACAAGTTATTCGTCACCCCCTGGTTAGTTTGCCCAGCCAGCCGGGCGGCAGAGGGGACTCCCTGCTCCAGGTGGAAGACCCCTCCCACCTGGGTGTCAGGTGGAGCTCATATACCCTAGCAGCCAGGGTAGAGGCGACTAGCACCTACAGGCAAGAGACACCTCCCACCTGGGAATGGGGGTAACTCCTATACTTCCTTAGCCAGGGTTGAGGGGACTAGCCCCTCCAGGCAGAACACCCCTCCCACCTGGGTGTCTGGTGAGCTCATATACCCCAGCAGCCAGAGTAGCAGCAACTCCCACCTCCATGCAAGAGACACCTACCACTTGGGGATGGAGGTAACTCCTATACCGCCTTAGCCCGGGTAGAGGGCACTCGCCCCTCCAGTCTTGTGACCCCATAACCTGGGTGATGGGGGAGCTCATACCCATGGGAGAGGGGACTCGACCCTCCAGGCGGAATATCCGTTCCACCTGGTTGTTCAGGGGGGTTCATATACTCCCACAAGCAGTGTAGGGGGTCTCCCAACAGGAGGCAGGAGACCCCTTCCATCTGGGTTTAGGGGGAACTCCTATACCACTGCAGCCAGGGTAAAGTGGCCTGGCCTCTCCAGACTGGAGTCCCTCCCACCTGGGTGTCAGGGGGAGATTATTTACCCCAGCAATGGTAGAGGGAACTCGCCCCTTCAGGCCAGAGATACCTCTCTCCGGGGTGTCAGTGAAAGCTAGTAAACCACTTCAGCCAGTGTAGAGGGGACTCGCCCCTTCAGGCAGAGACTCCTTCCATCTGGATATGGGGGGGGGGCGCTCATATACCTCAGCAGCCAGGTAGAGGTAACTGGCACCTCCAGTCCAGAAACACCTCCCACCTGGGAATGGTAGTAACTTCTATACCGCATTAGCCAAGGTATAGGGGACTCGCCCCTCCAGGTGGGAGACCCCATAACCTGGTTGTGGGGGGGGGAGCTCCTATACCGCTAGACCCAGGGGAGAGGGGACTCGACCCTCCAGGCGGAAGATCCCTTCCATATTGTTGTCAGGGGAGTTCATATACTGCCACAGACAGGGTAGAGGGGACACTACACTCAAGGTGGACGACCTCTCCCACCTGGGTGAAGGCAAACTCTTATACCACTGCATCCAGTATAGAGAGGATTCACCTCTTCAATCCAGAGACCCTACCAGCTGGCTGTCAGGGGGAGGTCCTTTACAGCCACAGCCAGGGTAGAGGGGACGCATACCTCCAAGAGAGAGACCCATCCAATCTGGGTATCAGGGAAAGCTAGTAAACCACTGCAGCCAGGGTAGAGGGACTCACCCCTTAAGGAGGGAGACCCCTCCCATCTGGGAATGGGGGATGGAGCTCCTATACCATAGCAGCCAGAATAGAGGGGACTCACCCCTTCAAGCAGAGACCCCTCCCACCTGGGTGTCTAGGAGAGCTGGTACACCACCTCAGCCAGGATTGTGGGGAGTCACCCCTCTAGGCGGGACACCCCTCCCACCTGGGTGTCAGGGGGAATTCCTATACTGTTGTAACCAGGGTAGAGCGGACTTGCCCTTTCAGTTGGTAGACCCCTCCCACGTGGGTTTCTGGGTGAGCTCCTATCCCTCTCCAGCAAGTGTAGAGGGGACTTGTCCCTCCAATTGGCAGAACCCTCCAACCTGGATGTGAGAAGGAGATCCTATACTGTCACAGCCAGGGAAGAGGGTCTCGCCCCTCCAGGCGGGAGACCTCTCCCACCTGGGTTTCTGGGGGAGCTCTTATTCTGCTGCAGCCAGGGTAGAGGGGACTGGACCCTCTAGGAGGGAGACCCCTTCCACCTGGGTGTCCTGGAGAGCTCCTACACCACAAAGCCAGGATAGAGGGGACTTGCCCCTCCAGGCGGGAGACTCCTCCCGCAGGGTGTCAGGGGGTGTTGAGGGCCACAGCTGAGTCAGGATGACAGCATGGCATATTGCCAGAAAGGAGAGGTGAGGCCAGCGAGCCATTGAGATGATGATGGTTATGTTAAGCTGTGTATTCAATTGTATATTTGACCTTTACTGTCTTGCAATAGGGTGGCTCTTGCTGTCTCAGGCGCCATTACTTTGGAGTTCCCATGGAGTTCTCCCAGGGTTCTGAGAGACCGGTGGAGGGTGAGAGAGTTCCCGGGGTGTGCGTGTGGGTGCTGGTGGAGTTCGGGCAATAAAGGAGTTCCTGTTTGAACCTACAAGTGCCTCCTGGCGGCTAGGTTATTTTTTGCCCAGCCAGACTGGGGCAAATGGGAGTTCCTGAAAGGAAAGTGACCACAACACTCAGAGCAACCAAAAGATCTTTATTGCAGCAGTGCAACAAAGAGAAAAGAAAGAAGGAGAGAGAGAGAGAGAGAGAGAGAGAGAGAGAGAGAGAGAGAGAGAGGAAGCGCACACAGGAGAGAAACAGAGAAAGCAAGAGAGATAGCAAGAGAGAGAGAGCAAGAGAGAAAGAGCAAGAGAGAGAGGGAGAGAGAGGGGGGCCTGGCAGGAGGGAGTTTTTATAGCCCAAATCTAATCGGGCTTCTGGGTCTGCAAGCTGCCTTGTTGGCCCAAGGGGGGGTTAAGTGTTCAGCCTTAAGCAGGGTTGAATGTTCAGACTTGAGGCAAACAAGTGATAAAGGACCAGATAGAGGGGGGTTTGAGTGTGTGGGCTATCTTGCAGCCAACATCTGTTCAGCCTGCCCTGCAGACAACACAGTTCAGCCTGCTCTGCACCCAACAGTTCCTACACTGCTGCAGCCAGGGTAGAGCAGACTTGCCCTTCCAGTCAGGAGACCCCTCCCACCTGGCTGTCTGGGTGAGCTCCCCTACCTCCGCAACAAGGATTAAGGAAACTTGCCCATCCAATCGGGAGACCCCTCCTATCTGGGTGTCAGGGGGAGCTCGTATAACCCTGCAGCTAGTGTAGAGGGGACTCGCCTCTCCAGTCAACAGGCCCCATAACCTGGGTGTTACGAGGAGCTCCTATACTGCCAAAGTCAGGGGAGAGGGGACTCAACCCTCCATGTGGAAAATCCCTTCCACCGATTTTCCACCTGATTGTCAGGGAAGTACATATAGTGCTACAGGCAGGGGAGAGGGGACTCCCACTCCAGGCAGGAGACCCCTCCCACCTGGGTGTAGGGGGCACCTCCTATATCACTGCAGCCAGGGTAGAGAGGACTTGCCCCTCCAGGCGCAAGACCCCTTCCACCTGGGTGTCTGGTGGAGCTAATATACCCCAGAAGCCAGGGTAGAGGCAACCCACACCTCCAGGCGAGAGACACCTCCCACCTGGGAATGGGGGTAACTCCTGTACCGCCTAAGCCTGGGTAGAGGGGGCTCGCTCTTCCAGACGGAAGACCCCTCCGACATGGGTGTCTGGCGAGGGAGGGTTCTTATACAGCTACAGCTGGGTAGCAGCGACTTGCCTCTCCAGGCCAGTGTCCTCTCCTTTCTGCAGTTAGGATGGGCCTCTTATATCCCCTCAGCCAGGGTTGAAGGGACTCTCCCCTTCAGGCTGGAGACCTTCCCACTAGGGTGTGGGGGAGGAACTCATACCACAGCATCCAGGGAAGAGGGGATTCGCCCCTCAAGGCAGGAGACCCCTCCCACCTGGGTGTTGTGGGGAACTTGTATACCACCTTAGCCAGGGTAGAGGAGACTAGCCCATCCAGGCCAGAGACCCCTCCAACCTGGCTGTCAGCAGGAGCTCATATACCACCACAGCCAGGGTAGAAAATACTTGCCCCTCCTGGCAGGAGATCCCTCCCACCTGTGTGTCAGCGGGATCTCATATACCACCACAGCCAGGGTAAAGGGGACTGTGTGTGTGGGGGGAGATCCTATACCACCACAGCCAGGGTAGAGAGGATTTGGTCCTCCAGGAGGGAGATCCCTCCTCCCTGGTGTGGGGGGTGAGCTCCTATACCCCTGAAGCCAAGGGAGTGGGGATTCACCCCTCCAGGCAGGAGACCGCTCCCACCTTGGTGTCAGGGCGAGCTGTTGCACCACCACAGCCATGGTAGAGGGTACTTTCCCCTTCTGGCGGGAGACCCCTCCCACCTGGGTATGGGGGGGGAGCGCTCGTATACCCCCGCAGCCGTGTAGAGGGGACTCGACCCTCCAGGCGGAAGACCCCATAACCTGGGTGTGTGTGTGTGTGGGGATCTCCTATGCCGCCAGAGCCAGGGGAGAGCGAGAAGCTCAGCACTATTCAGATGACCGCCATGACCATGGAGGACGTCCAGAGCGCCATGGCCGGGACTCCCGCGATGGCTGGGGGGACTACAGCTCTGACAAGAGGATAACTGAAGGCCGGGGCCTCCCCCCCTGGCCCCAGAGGGGGACGAGACTGGGCCGAGCACAACCGGCTGCTGGAGGAGCATCAGGTCCGGGACTGGCAGGGTGCCTTGGATGCCAGCGACTTGGGCTGGGAGAACACTCCATGGCAAGGTGCTGAGAGGGGCCTGTCTGGGACTTCGGGCCTAGGCAAGGGTAGGCCAATGCTAAGTGGCTGGGCATTTCGGCTTCACACATGCTGGACATTCCCAGGGTCATGTGGTGCCTGGAGGCAGACTGGATGGTGGCAGAGTGGCCAGCGAGGACCTGGCCAGCAGAGTCCCACACCCTACCCTCACCCCCACCCATACCCCCACTTCACCAGAAGCTACTGAAGCCCCCGCACCACGGCTCTGCTTCGCAGGAAGGCGAGGTGCCATGAACTGGGGTGAGGGGGAGAAATTTTGCCTTTTGCAACAATGTAGATAAACCTGGAGGATATTATGCCAAGTGAAATAACCCAGACACAGACAAATACTGCTTGATCTCACTTATATAGAGTCTAAAAGTCAAACTCATTGAAGAAAGAAAATTCATTTGGCTACAGCTATACAAATTCATCAATTCCACACCTTTTAGAAAGAACAATACAGACACAGAAGACACAATAAAAAAATGAAACAAAAATTCCTAGATTAATCCAAGAAAAGACCTCATAATGAAATTTTGAGGACACACACCCAGTCTAGAAAATCAAACAAAACACCCCAATTTCAATAAGATTAAAAATCCTGCAAGGACATAGGAAATTAAAATCAGTTTATGAACTGTGACCTACTGAAAAAGGTAAAACTAAAATGAAAGTGAAAGGATCTGGGGTTGGAGTAGAGGAAGGAAGACAATATGGTACATAGTGGATTTTTAGGGCAATGGAACTATTCTACCTGGCACTAATAGTAGTACTGGATGGTGGATACATTCTACATGGTACTGTATGATGGATACATCTCATCACACTTGTTAAAAGGGTTGGGAATGTAGCTTTGTGAATGAAGGACAACGAAGCGTGAGGTTCAATCCCAGTCCTGCAATTATAAAAAAAATGGAGAAAGCAACAAGGGAATATAGAACTCAGAAGTTGATGTGAACTGTGGCATCTATACCTAGTCCAAACTAGGCCTTTCAGAATAAGGTAAAAATGTTTGTCAGAGATGCATAAAACTAACACCTTTCTGAATAAGACAAAGAAATGTACAATAACATGAAAAAAATAAATAAAAAGTTAGCTCTTAAAAATTAAGAAAAACTGAGGTTATCTGTTATTTTAAAAAGTGCTGTATATTTGAACAAAAAGTCTTTTTGCCCTTTGTGAATATTCTAAAAACACAGGTGAAAATAATAGCTGTGAACACTTTCTATAGTCACATATTTTATAATTTTATGGGCAGTTTCCTCAAGAAACTTGTGGCTCTTAGTGTATATACCACCATGTTAACTGAGGCATTGCTTGCAATAGCCAAGATACAGAAATAACCTAAGTGTCCCTCCACACATGAAGGGATTCTTTAAAAGGTGATATGGGGGTATACATCCACAGTGAAATTCTATTCACCCTATGGAAACAGGAAATTCTGCATTTATAACAATATGGATGACAGTATCTTAAGTGAGGAGACTATGTTAAGTGAAATAAGCCAAGTAGTGGGAGAAAAAAACCTATGCTCTCACTTAACATGTGGAATCTAAGAGTCAAAATCATAGAAGTGGAGAGTACAATGGTGTTTACCAAGTCTCATGTGTGTGGCAGGGAGGCAGGAGGCAGCCAGGAGGGTAGATGAGGAAAAGGGGAGACTTAGGTAAACAGGCATGAGGTTAAGTTAGATAGGAGGAGGGCTATAATTGGTAATAATGTGTTTTTCAAAATAGCTAAGACAGAATTTTAAATGCTCTCATCACAAAGAAATGATAAATACTGAGGTGATGCATATGCTAATTTATCTGAAACATCACATGGTACCCCATAAACATATGTGAGTAGTTTTTTAATTAAAAATAAAACTATAAGAAGGAATATTTACTGGTTTTTATAGATATACATAAAGCATTACATAAACCACAAAATGTTATGATTTAAGACTTCACTCCAAAGCTTTTACTATGTCCCTGCTTAAAATATTTCTCTTGTTCTGCTAAACTCCTGGAATCTTTTACATGTAGGTCTGTAGTAGTTGCATTGTAAAGAAAAGATACATGTAGGTCTATAGTAGTTGCATTGTAAAGAAAAGATACAAGAGAAAGGGATAAGAGTTTAATGTAATTTTGATATGTATTATGAAAGTATTTTACTGGTATTATCAAAAAAGTTCTTATCATAAGAGAAATACATAATTCTAGAGGAATAAAATGTATGGGTTTTTTCTGTAACAGCAATATTAAGTAGTGAAGTCAGAAAAGCCTGTATAGGCCACCAAGACATTCTTGGAGAGACAGATAAGGAGAAGAATGCAAAAGGTTTGCATTATTGAGATTAAGAATGAAAGAGCTAATATGACACAGTTGGAGCATGATGAAACAGCACAAAAAATGCTGCACAGTTTAGTGTGAAGCTCCATTCTGGCTGTCTGGGTTATCCTTACAATAATGATATCACAAGCATACAAAATCCTGCAGCTGAAGTAAATTACCATCAAAGAAACAGCAACACTACTAGCTAGCACTACTTTGAAGGAAGGTCTGAGGAGGAGCCTGGAAGGGCTCTATCTACACATCTGTGAAAGGGTGAGATTCCAAGGAGGCTATATATAAAAGGCCTGTACTGAGCACACATGCTGGTATATTTCTTTAGTGGCACAGTTTTTTTTCTTTTTGTGTCATGAATTTTATTTTCAATATTTTTATTGGTGTATCATAGTTA